CAAAAATTTTTACAAATTTAGGTTTAGATTATGAAGAACGTGTGTTAGCATCAATTACTAATGAAATTTTAAAATCTATTGTAGTAAGTCTCAGATATTTTGTTTTTGTTACTATGAATAATTAAATTGATTATTAGACTCAATTTGATGCTATTCAATTGATTATACAACGTACACTTATTTCCCAATGTGTTAGTGAATTAGTCACCGAATATGCTGCTCAATTTGGTTTATTACTTGGTGTTATTTCAATTGTAAGATGCAACAAAAAAAAGTCTCGAGTTGATTATATCTATATTTTTTTTTTAAATTAGACGCATTTAAGTTTTGGACCTGGATTTATACAAGCGCTGTTGAATTAAAACAAGTTGCACAACAAGATATTGAAAAACAACAATTTTTAGTCGAAAAAATAAATGAATAATAATAAAATTTGTATGATTTTTTTGATAAAAAAACAACAGACTGAAAAAAGTCGTCAAGCAAATGTTATTGCAGCAGAAGGTGTTGCTTGTACAGCTGATTTGATTGGCAAAGCTTTAGAGGAAGCTGGTGATGATAAATTTTCGAATGTCTTTCATGATCTTGTCTTACTTTTGTTTTAATATTCATGTTAGGTTTTTTTGTTCGATTAAAAAAAAAAAGAAGAGCAGATCAAAAATTCTCTAGATGACATTAAAGTTTCGAATAGGATTGAAATGATGAATTTCGATAATCTCTTTCGACATTTTATATTAACTCAATCATTTGTACGTGGTTGGGCAAATTCATTTCGTTTACAAGAAATTTTTATCTATCGACGTGAAAAAATTGGTGTAAGAGATGAATGTTTAGAAATTGTACCAACTGAAAATGTACAACAAAATACTGTTGAAATAATTAAACAAGAAATAAAAAGCAATCAAAATTATACAAATGCTCGATTTCGTTCACCACTTGCCAATTATTTACTACATTTAGTAGGAAATTAAAATCATTTTAATCATTTAATTAATATTATCTTTTTTTCTTTTGTTATATTTATGTGAATAGGTTTCACCTCAAGTAGCTACAGCTCATTTTCAACTTGTTTTACCATGTGATCATCGTTTTGGTATTGATTCAATTCCAATAGGAATTTGTTATGCTGAAACAGAGGTAATCATGGTTTTAGTCGACGAAGGCTACTTACTGCAGTTCCATTAATTAATCAATATCGTATAGATTCAATTCTTCTTGAAAATTCATATTATGGTTTAAGAAAACCACCAGATCAATCTCGTTCATCATTATTGTATGTTACTGATTTATATATTATGGGTAAAGTACTTGTTTTAGAAACATTTGTATTATTTCATTAGTGTCAAAAAAATGAAATTAACATAAGCTATTCTACATGGTTTTTCTCTTGGTGGACATATGGCTTCATTAGCATTTACAAAGTAAGATTCAATTCTATTATTTGATCTATTTAATGAATGGATATACAGTATCTATCATAACTTTAAATAATGATTCAAGTAGAGCAAACCATATTACAAAAAGAATATAAATTAAAAACATTGATTATTTGATTCCCTAAGTTAGGATTTTTTTAGACAACCCAAAAGCCTAATTTCTCAGTATCTAGTACTTGAACTCTCTAGGATGGTTTTTTATTGAGTAAAAGTTGAATAATTTATGTAGCCATTGTGTATATATTTATATTTTAGATGGCCTGATCTACCTTGTCGACAATTCTATAAAAATAAAGCCTCTCAAACATTTTATGATTATTTACGTGAACGACGAAATTGATCAATAGATTCAAATAAAATTGTTCTCGATCTTATTAAAGATATGATGCGTCTTCTTGTGGATGAATTTACTTCTTTATATAATTATTCATGTTCAGTTCAATCAAATATGTCTAATGCTATGTTTATTGCTTGTACACATGATAGTTATGTATTACGTGATGGTATTCCATATATGAATGATGTATGGCCTGGTATTCATATTCGATATATTCCTCATGGACATGCTAGTGCATTTTTATTTAATCAATCAGATTTTCATCATGCTGCTGCTGCTAAAATGTTACAACGACAAGAATCATATGTAAAACTAAAAAAACATCTAATCATATCACCAATTTCTATTACTACACCAAAAAATTTGTGAAGATATATATTTTTTTCATATAGATATTCTCTCGAAAAGTATCAAATATTTCCTAGTTTTTGTGTTATGATTTGAATAATAACTCAGAGAAAAGAAAACTTTTGATCAAATATAAACTAGATAATATATTAATCGTTTTGTTTTTTTAAATATAATTTGTATGACTCTGGTAAAAACATGAGCAAACA